TACGGAAGACTAGAACATGAGCAAATATTAATCCTGTATAAATGTCACTTGACCAAAGTAACCCACATATTACAAAGCCTCTGAAGTAACGAAATATTAAAATGTCTTATTGTTTTCTCATTTGTACCTGAACATAAACCTGGCACCAAGAGAGTTATCTATAAATGTGGCAGTGAAAGAGTTAAGTTTCACCACTAAAAATAAACATTAACCGATAGAGAATGTACAAGTAAGATTCATAGCTAAATCTCATGAATTGTATTAAGTAAATGAAGAGCTTTCTCAGATCAATGCAAAGGGCTATCTGCACTAGCCATCTCTCATTTTGAACTGACAGGCTAGACAGAAGGCAGTTAGTCAACAGCAGACACCACCAATTCTTGGGCTGCTCTAATTAAATACTGAGATTTGACTATCACTGTCAGAATGAACCCTTGAATTCATAGTTTAATACTAAGCCATGAATAATGTTTATTACACTTTTTCAGGACAAAAATTCTTTATTAATGATTTAGTTATATGTAATCTAATCTCAACTATCCACAATAAATAAAACAATAATCAGAAACAACATAGTCCACAGGTAATTTGCTTTTGAATGAAAAAATCGTCTTTGAGATTTCACTGATCACTAAAAATAAAGCATTTAAGAAATGTACAGATTGCAAATAATAACAACCTTTTAATAAAGTTTAAGAAGTATACTAAGTAAATCATAACTCGTAAAAACTTGCAACAAAAATATCAAACTGTGAAAAAGTTGCTACTAAATTTTTCAAATAGTATTCTTTTATTTACAACTTTCTTAAAGTCTTGTGTTAAGATATATAAAAAAAAGCTATGTAAATAATTCTACTCCTACTAATAATATTGGTCACAAAAATACAAGTTTAAAAAATTAGATCCCCTCCCGCCAAAATCAATAAATATTGAAATTCTATTTATGAGACACACAGTATATCAAAAAGCTATGAAACAAACTCTTTTGTGTCATGGAAAGGTTAAATATAGACTCAAAATCTTTGAAATTTACTTTCCTATTACTCACCAATAAATCACTTACAGTATGGCTACATGAAAAATCAAACATGTACTTCAAGAAACGTGTACAACGGAGTAAGCCTCGTTCACACAAAAACTTTGCATATTATATTGAATGAGGCACCAGAAGTATTGTACTTTAAATATAAAAATACAACTGTTCACTTTTATACAAAATTTCCTTCATGATGGAGTGTTGAAAAATAAACATTTATTGATTTACTTGAATGTTAAAATATACACAAACAAAATTTGAAATCATAATTTAGTTTTGAGTTTGTTTACAGATTATTAAGTATTATTTTATTATAAGTTACAGCTTCCTTTTTTGTAATCCTTACTGTAAAAGTTGTAACTTGTCGTAAAGTAAAAAATTTGAAATAATTTCTCTCATAATTATAGTCATCAACTTTTTGAAGGCCATAGATAGGCCTAAATAAAATGTTTTTAATTGTGTACCAGTTTAACGTTGAATATTATTTATAATTTTAATTTCTCTCATCTTTGATAATAATGGTAAAAGCACCATATAGTTTTGATACAAATAACCCTTAAATTCCTTCATTACGTTTGTTTGTCTCTTACGTGTTAAAATAATGATTACATCACATAAACGAGATGATTTGTCCAAAATAAACTTCATTTTTAAGACTTATAAATTCCATAAAAAATTATCTTTACTGCATCCAAAAACTTTCAAGTATGTTAATTTTCTTCCAATGTTTATAGCATTTCTATATTTATGTTTTGTTCAAAACAAACTCAAAATATGTATGCTTTCAAATCTTATAAAAAAAAATCTATACTCAGGCAAATAAACATATATTTACATTATATATCTAATTTTCTTGTTGATTCAGCCACATTACAAGAAAAACGTTTCTTGTACATATAATTAAAAAAAATCATGAACTTCATTATAAAATAAGCATTTATAATACTTTTAATCTTTCTATTCTCATTAAACATGAAAGGATGAAATTTATATAAAAAAGTATAATCCATTAATATTTGTTAATTAAGTCTCCACCAGCAAGTGACTAATATTATAAATTATAAAATTTAATTTTGTTATATGGAATGAGCATACAGTGACACTGTATGTATCACCTGTAAAGAAACTGTTAAAATCAATACAAGAAAAGGAATTAATGTTTTAGTCAAACAACTTTCATTGGAATCTAAAGAAATGTAAAGAGTGTCTTCTATTTTTGATTAACATTACATTTTTCATTTGGTCACAATAATGGTTGTTTGGTTGAATTATTAACCGTTTACTCTTTTTACTTATAGAAATTTTATTCATTTGGTCACAATAAAGGTTGTTTGGTTGAATTATTAACCGTTTACTCTTTTTACTTATAAAAATTTTATTCATTTGGTCACATCACAATAAAGGTTGTTTGGTTGAATTATTAACCATTTACTCTTTTTACTTATAGAAATTTTATTCATTTGGTCACAATAAAGGTTGTTTGGTTGAATTATTAACTGTTTACTCTTTTTACTTACAGAACGTTTATTCATTTGGTCACAATAAAGGTTGTTTGGTTGAATTATTAACCGTTTACTCTTTTTACTTATAGAAATTTTACCCTTTCTTTGTATCTTCACATTTTAATTATGTTTAGGCATATATATTCATATTCATCATTACAACAGAGTAAATATACAAGGTATACCAAACACACACACAAAAAAATACATAAAAAAACATGCAGAATATCTAAGACAAAGTTTAAGGAAGAAAAAAAAACATCACCTGAAGAAGGGTTTAGGCCCCAAATGTTGTATCAAATTAAAGTTTTCCTAGATTTTATTACCATCATATCCAGTGTTGTTGTTTATTTTTCTTTCTTAAACTTCATGTGACTGACTGTCATACATTATTTTGTGTAGCTTCCGAGAGAAAAAAAAAGTCATACACTTTTTAAATATGTGTCTTCACATTAATTATAAAACAATTATTAATTTATATTTCTGAATTTGTTTAAAAAAGAATACTTATAAACATCTCTACTTCATGTACAACAGAAAAGTAATGTTTTTCTTGCTCCAATTTAAAAATTTTAATCTTATCTGTTATATTCTTGCACACACACACACTGGTGGTATGTTTTTTATTCCTACTTTAGAAGTAAAAAAATGAATTGAATATGTAAGTTTACTGTTTTAGTTTTTTGGTTATATTACATTAGAAAAGAGTGAAAAAACATGAAAATTAATGAGGTGTTTAAATTGCAAAACTTGATATGTATAGGTACCAAGGCACATTCAAGGCTCAAGTTAGGTTAGATCTGATTGGTTAAAAGCAAAAAAACAAACTATCCAAGTACTAGAACATACAAGTTTTTCACTAGCACATTATTACTTCCTTGTAGAAAAATATTTTTAGAAAAAAAGTATGTTTGTTTTAGTAACAACTACAATAGTCTACTATATATATATGTTACGACAGCGGAAGTCACATGACACTGGTAACACATGATGAGTTTCTAGAAGGATCATGAAGGCCCAAGTGCATTCTAGGCACCCTCTATTTTAGTATATAAGCCCGGCAAATAAAGTGACAGCATAGATAATTTGCAGATAGGGAGATATAGAGACAAATAATCAAGTCAAGTCGTAAGTAAAGTGCATGAACCGTTGTGAATTATAGCGTGTGTTTAAATTAAAGTGACTGTGGAAATTAAGTGTATTGCAAAGTTGTATTGAGAAAGAATAAACTAGTTTTATTTAAGAAAGGATTTGTATCCCTGAAGTTCTTCGGAAAGAAATTTTACGGGAAATTAACAAACAAGCAGATACATAACATATATATGTAAAAACTTTGATAATAGAATTCACAGAATGTGAATAGCTGTTGTAATATAAAAAAAAGAAAAGAAATGTTCATACTTTATGTTTGTCACTGAATATGTATGAAACAGTAATTCATAACTACGTGCAAAATATTTTAACATACAACAGTGAATTAATTAGAAAAAAAATCTGCCTATAAAACAGCTATCACTTGTCATAAGTCAATGCTAGGTTATTGTTTTACTTTTTAGTTATTTTCATCAAATTAATTCTTGATCTTCATACTCTGAACTTCAGTACAAAATTCATCACAATGTTGTTCCCATTATTTTTTTATCCTAAAAGCATACAATACCCACTTAATCATAATTTGACAGCCAGTTTTTCATGTTTTTTAGTGAAATTGTAATTTAAAATAACAGCCTTTACACAGATTGTATTACTATACGGTACACGTCTATTAATAAATTTGTAAAATATTATCTTCATATGAGCAACTTTCAATTATAGCTCTACATCTTGCAAAAAACTTGAAGATCTTTCAGCAAATTAAAACACAAGAGCGTTGATTCTTTTTGTTTAAAATACAAAACTGCACCATGGGCTCTGTGCTGTGCCAACTACAGGTATCAAACCCTAGATTTTAGATTTATAAGCTCTCAAACTTAACACTAACCATCAGGGGGCAAGAGCTTTGAAGTATAAAGTTTTGCTATAAAATGTATAAAACTCGTATCATTAATCTCTGCATGTAAAGTATATAAAACTATCAATTTAATCAATCATTTTATAGGTTTATTTTTTCACATTTTTTTTGCCTGAAATTAGTTTAGTAGACTTAAGTATTTAATAAAATCCTTAAGTTCATAATGAATATTTTGTAACATTTTTTTCTGAACAGAAGAAGGAGTTATGAACCTGGTTTTATACCTAAGTATGAAGAACATTAGATATAATACAAAAGTCTGCATTTCTCCTAATTAAACATCATCATTGGTGGAACAGAACAAGCCAACTACTTTTTCATTGGTGTAGCTGTTTTAGTATCTATTTGTGATACCCTTAGTATTAATAAACAAATAATAAAATATTTTCCTAAAAAGGTACCGATTTATTGCTCTCAATAATTCGCTTAAATATGTTATTGACATTTATTCTTTTTCTTTTTGCTGTTACTTGACTTGATTTTAAGTTAATAATCCTTGGATTTGATTTTTTTCAATTTCAATATAATTAGTTAAAGGCACCAAACGAGTCAATAGCGCCAGTTCACCAGTCAAGTTTACACTGTGTTCATGATGAACAAATATAAATCAAACCTTTCTTTTTTTAATGTCTGAGATTAGGATCTCTAACACTGTTCTATTTTTTGTAATACAGTTTAACACCGTACAAAATATATAAATCTAAAAATTCTAACAATAACTACACTGCCACCTATTTTTTACTTTCTCGTAAACTTCCGTCTTATTTTATAGAAGTACAACATACAGCAAGAACAAAGTTAATCACTTAGCACACTGATGAGTTTGGAATTTCAACAATTTGGTTCGCCTCTTTATCTACCCCATCTTGATTTTCTTCTTCATCTACCAGATCTGTGCCTCCTTCACCAATGAGCGGTTGGAAACTATTGGTTGTAGGATAATTATGAGGAAAATTACTCTTTTTTTCCTCACCACTTGCATCCTCATTTTCATCTTGTGTTTTGGCATAACCTATAAAACACAATAAAACAGTCAGATTATATTACAAAGTGAGGTAGGGAAAATATACATACAATATTGTTCTGTGATCATTAATGTTAGTTTACAGCATTTCAAACAATGACCAATATTTTGGTTATTTCCTACTTAAAGATACAATTTCATGTTAAGTTTTTTAACGTGTTTCAATGTGTAACGTTCATTCACAGTAGAAAGAAACAGCTTTTCTTTCCTCCGAGTGCATATTTCTAATCTAAAGTTAAAAAAAAAGAAGGTAGATACAGGTTTATAGTAGGATCATGAAATAATAAATGAAAGTTAATTCAAATGCTGCAATAACACAAAATATTCTGAAAATAACCAGAACAAATAGGTTTGTTTGTTTGTAATTAAGAACAAAGCTACGCAATGGGCTATCTGTGCTCTGCCCACCACGGGTATCGAAACCCAAATTCTAGCATTGTAAGTCCGCAGACATACCGCTGTGCCACTGTGGGGTGAGCAAATAAGCCAAAAAAGTACTTAGATAATATCAACAACTGAAATAAATTTCTTTGTATCAAAATTTGGTATTTTGACTTTGTCAGAATGGTTAGTTTAACACAGCTTGAAAGAAATTTTTGGATGATCCTTGACTTCAAAGTATACTCTGTAGTGATTGTCATTGTCTTCTTACTTGGAAGAATGATCCTTGACTTTACAGAGTATACTCTGTAGTGTTTGTCATTGTCTTCTTACTTGCAAGAATGATCCTTGACTTCAAAGTATACTCTGTAGTGACTGTCATTGTCTTCTTACTTGGAAGAATGATCCTTGACTTCAAAGAATACGCTGTAGTGATTGTCATTCTCTTTTTACTTGCAAGAATGGTCCTTGACTTCAGAGTATACTCTGTAGTGATTGTCATTGTCTTCTTACTTGGAAGAATGATCCTTGACTTTACAGAGTATACTCTGTAGTGGTTGTCATTGTCTTCTTACTTACAAGAATGATCCTTGACTTCAAAGTATACTCTGTAGTGATTGTCATTCTCTTTTTACTTGCAAGAATGATCCTTGACTTCAGAGTATACTCTGTAGTGATTGTCATTGTCTTCTTACTTGCAAGAATGATCCTTGACTTCAGAGTATACTCTGTAGTGACTGTCATTGT